CGGCTTATTAAGTAACAAGTGCATTTTAAGTCGCAACTCCGCGTAGGCGGTTCCTCGAAGAGAGCCATCGACTCTTTCACTGGTAGAGGCATGTACGTCTTCTTCGCGGTTTCCTCGAGGAAATATTGTCCCCGAGTCACACGGTCTCAAGTGCAACTGGCAATCGAAATAAAAAGGAGCAAGAGAGAATCACCCTCTTGGAATTCCATCAGTGTATAAAAATATACGGACACTTTCAGTTGTTGAATACTTGGTTGGATCATGTGCTGTAACAGTGATTTTAATCACTATCTTCACACTATCTTCACGGATATCCAGGTTGAATAGACAAAGAACTTTCCTAAAGAAACGTCTCGTCAAATGCACAGATATCGTGCATTTGACTGAATAAACGAAGTAACGTCATCCTGTCTTTCACTTTCTTCTGCCAATGAAAGAGCGAATCTTTGCTTCCTTTCACCACAGGAATTTCACGTAACTTACGTGTCTTTGTTTTCTTAGAATTATCTCTAGAAAAATACAGTCTGTGTTCTTTTCTTTTTTTTTCTTTTTCTATTCGCACACTGCTCGAACCAGTCGACGAGCTTCCGAATAAAAATACTATCTACCCACGGTTGGTCGAGCAGTGGCTTAAGTTTAAATAGTAGCATTTGTATAGAGTATATAGACTATCTAAATCTTTCTTGGCTAGATCCTCCAAAAGATCGTGTAGGTAAAAAAGTAAAACGGTGCATCTATCGTTGGAAATCCCTGCTCCAGCTTCCTCCTCTCTTCCTCGCGAGGGACGAAGGTCAGCAAACGTAGTCAGTTCGTTTAAGTAGTAGACAAGACGAAGAGTTAACCGATAATAGATGTTGATTAGACAGTAGATATTAATTAGACAAGAAAATCAATTAGCCAGTAAATTGATTTCCTTGTTAACAGGACTCGTGATTGTTCTCTCAAATCCTTTATCATTGTGTCTTCTCTTCATTTTCTTTTCTCTTGCTTCAAGTTGTGAAGATAGTCTATTTGATCGTCCTCGTCTGAAGAGATAAACAAAACAAAAGATTAAGTAACACAAGAAGAAATGGAGTTAAAGTAATTAGGCTTTAGTTACTTACCTTCGCCTTCGTCTTCGCCCTCAACTAGTCTCAAGTCACTGTCCTTTTGCTGGGGTTCTTTGTCGTACTCGACTCCCTCGTACTGATCATCTCCGACATCGGCCATTCGTTCAGCACCAGCGTCCAAACTAAAAGTTCATATATTAGAAACAATATATTCCAGTCTATCATAATTAATTATAAATTTAGACGAATTTAGTCCGAGCGTTTAATTTATTATAATACTGTAACAAAAGTTATGCGATCTAGGTGAAAAAGTTTCAAGGCTGAGGAGTACCAAATCATCTCACATTCACACATAACACAGACTGATACAAATAATGATTCTTTATTTTCTTTATCGAATTTACGAGGAACCACATACCCAGGTAGGCGAATGTGATTCAGTTCGTCCCCGATTTCCTGTACGCCTGGCCCAACGTTGAACCAACCGTTTCCTCTTCTATCTGCAACCTGGTCGTCGGATCTTCTAGCAGGAATGGCCGGAAGTGGAGGGTCCAAGATACCATTCTCACCCTCTTGCTCCTTGCTATCGGCGTTGTTCCTCTGTTTCGGTTCCTCCTTTTTCCTGGCCACCTCGTCCTGTCTCTCCTCGCGATTCTCCAGCTTCTGGTCGATCATCACGGGTATAGGCGGCACGCCAACGGGCAGCTTGGACTTGGGGATTGGTTTCGCGACCGGAAGTGCCTTGTCCACGGACGTGGGCGCTGGGTTGCCGCTGCTCGCCAGCGTTGAAGTCTCCAGCTTCACGGCTGGTATCGATTTCATCGAGCTGGTCGCCACCGTGCTCTAGAAAAATAATTC